ATTATCATATTACAGAGAAACAAGTTGAGGTTTCATTTCAGGCCTGATAACCATGTGCTACAGAAGAAATTCTGTTTCTGAACCTTGGGAATTTTAACAGATTTTAAATCCAAATCATGAACCACTTCTCAAAACATGATAATCCTTGCACTTAGGAAGGATTCCAACCACTTTCTGGAAACAAGAAAGAGGATATTCCCTAGAATTTCTCCCTGCTATGGTGTCAGAATCAGCACTGTCACTTACTGTGCACTCTAGGGAGATAGGGAACATGAAGGTTTAGAAGGACAGTGCCACAGTCTAACCGGCCCCTCAAATATTTAGTAGCAACTTACCTTAAAAATGATGAATAAGGCAAAGAACACAAGAACAATGAACAGGAGGCAGCTGGAGTCCAATGCCAGGAGGTCATCTTTATAGGGAAAATCAGGCTATAAAAAAAAAAAAGGAATGAAAAGGCAGAGCAGAGAGGATTAAGGCACTGAAAGTATTCCATATGATACTGCAATGATGGATACATATCATGGTACACTTGGCCAAATCCACAGAATGCACAATACTGAGAGTGAACCCTAACGCAAACTATGGACTATGGATGATGATGATGATGTGTCAGTGCAAGTTCACAATTGTAACAAACATACCACTGTGGTCTGAGATGCGGATAGTGGGGGAGGTTCTGAGGGTGAAAGGGATTTTAGGGAACTCTCTGTATTTTCCATTCAATTTTGCTGTGAATCTAAAATTGCTCTAAAATATAGAAAGTTTATTAATTGAATACATATAGCCACAGCACTTGCACTTTGTGATAACCTAGAGAGTGTGTTAAGAATACAAACAAAAGGCACCAAAGCCAGAACTGATCTTTCTAATATGTATTTTAAGCCTTATCAACATTAATGCATACTACTTACTGATCACTTAAAATACATTTGTTTGAATATCCAGAATACTCCTAAGAGTCTAAACTGAGCTCATCTTCTCTTTACTTTTCACTATTTTATATCTTTCTGGCCTTTAAAAAAACACTATCTCCTGTACAAGACCCCAAATTTGTCCCTGGGTCACTGAGTCACTAAGTCAGGAGGTGCTGATACTTATCTAAGTTCCATGGGCCATTTAGTTCTACATAAGGAAAACTATTTTCCTAAAAGCCAATCATCTGTCTCAAAGCTTTTTAGAATGGGGCAAAAAGAAGGCATGCTATGTCCCTGGTTACAATGCCAGGCAAGAGTGTATAATTTATTGCAAACATACTATGTTCTACTGAGAAGTATTGGCTATATTTATTCAAATATTTATTTAGCATTTACTGTGTGCAAGGCAATGAGCGAGGTTCAGCAAGAAGGGTATTACATAAGAATAATTTCAGATTTACAAGCTGGCCTTCAGAGAAACTATCTTCCAGGAGAAACCACTGAAGTCTGTAAACTTAGTAGTAATAAATTCATCTTCATGTTTTTCTAAAAAGCTCATCTAATTTTAAACTTATATCTGCTTTTAATAGAAACGTCAACACAAATAATCTCACTTTCATTTAAAAAAAGCACAAAGAAATTCCAAAGGATCAAAAGAAAAGTATCCGCACACCAATCCCAAATCCTAGTAAGTGCTCCCTTGGGACAAAACTGTTAACTTTAAAAGCTTGCATCTATAACTGAAAGGACAAACACACAATGAGACCAGCTCCTGGGGGAATGCTGTAGATTCTATTCAGAAAGATTCCAATTTTTCGCCCAGAGAGGACATGATCACAGAGAACTATGCGTAGGAAGCTGCTGACCAGGCCAACAGGCCCTGCCCCCATGACTTCCCTCCAGTCTCGTCACATGCTGCTCCGTTCCCTTCCCTTACTCTGAGTGCCAGCCACCATGGTCATCTTTTAGTCCCCTGACTGTACTAGGTTCCCTCCTGCCTCAAAAAAGGTGTCCCTTTTACCTGGAACATTTTCTTTCTTACATTCCCTATCTTAATTTCTACCTGGAATTAAATCTCACTTCCCAGCCCAGATCTGATACCTGTGTGATACCCATTCACACAGCAGCCTACACTTCTCCTTCCCAGCCTGCCCTTCTAGTGTGGCTGATAACGTACCAGTGCTAACTACATAAGAACATCATAATTTTAAATCAAAAGTTGTCAATTTTCCGATTCCTTCATTAGAAAGTAGGTTCTACTGCTGTATCCCTAGGATCCAGCAGAGTGCCTTGCACATAAGGAGCAATCGACACGTGTTTTTTGAATGAACAATAAATTCTGTGATATGCAAAATGGATTACACAGGAAATCTGAAAGTTGGGTGAAAATTTCTAAAAGATAGCACTTTTTAAATACACTTTCATGTATCTGGACCCTACCCCTCTCCTTCCAGACCTTACTCCAGCCCAGAGAATTCCATGCCCCGCCATCATACAGCTTTTAATCTAAGCTCCTCATCTACCGCTGTCCAGCGACAGTGCTAGTTCATTATCAGATAACATCTCCGTGTCTTAACTCCCCAAATACATGGTTTGCTCCTTGAAGAGAGGAAAGTTATCTTTATATCTACACCATTCACCCACAGTTTGCCTATAACGGAGTGAAGAATATAGTAGACACTCAAATATATGCTACTGATGCCTTCAAAGACAAAAGCTAAAACTTTAATGAGTGCCAAATACAGTCAAATCATTACACTTTTAGTATACTCAAAACAAAAGTTGAACTACTCCTTAAATTCCATAATATCCATCTTTAGGAACTTTTTTAAATATTGGATTATCCAAATGGTATGGTAAGAAGACATTCTATTTTCATCTTACTGGTTTCAACATGGTAGTAATGATATTACTTTAGAACAATTTAAAAAATAAATAGGGTAGGTTAAAACAAAAATACCTAAAGCTGACTCAGAATTTCAATTTAAATATTTTACTTAAAATGGAAAAAAATAGTTTGATAGCATAAACACTTACTAATTGATCCAGATATTCTTTGATTCTTGGCAAATAAGTGAGAGAACTGATAGCAACCAGGCAACTGAGAACGAAGTCAAAAAGGCGGTAACAGAAGAATGGAATAAGCCAACCCACTTGATACTGCAGGAAAAAACAACACCATGTCACATCACATCCATGGAATTACGAAGTACTACTCAGTAAAGATCGAACTCCAAAAGTCGAAAACATAGGATACTTACAGAAATTGCTCCATATACCAGCATTGAACTGATTATAAACATAAGAACAGAGACGGCAAAAAGAACGCAGGCATTATCTAAGAGAAAAAAAAACACACACACACAAATCTGGTTAAGCTACGTATATAAAAACAACAAAACTCTTCATGACAAAATAGTTTTTTAAAGCTAGCTTCAAAACATCTAAGTATTTTCAAGATTGGCTATGAAAAAAATCTAAAGCCAAGGGGTAAAAAGAAAAATCTGCCTCAACATTAAGTAAAGCAGCTTAAGAAATTCACGCCTTCATTTCTCTTGTTACACAGCTATGACTCACTGACGCTTGTTTAGTATGGCACATGAACCAGGTACTCTGCTAGGGAGACAGATCCCTGCCCAGAGTCTAAGAGTCTGAAGATGTGCAAATAGATCATTAAAATCCAATGTGGCAAGTGCTACAACAGAAGCAGAAACAATGAGCTTGGCCTGGAGAATCAGGAAAAAAACCAGAAAAGAAAGAACACAAGTTGGGTCTTATGAGATGAGCAGGGTTCATCTGGAGGGAAAGGCTAGTATTTACTAGTAAACACAGAATGCCATAGATGTCCCCTCTTGCCTTAGATAAAATTGATAATCTGAAATTCAAGGTTCCCCATGAATTCCCTCTCCCCCATCCCAACGGCCAAACTCACTGCTCTGCATTCCTTCACCTTGGCTTCTCCGCTGTACACAGATCTATTTTCTTCTTTGTTCTTCAACTCATTCTCAGAGGTTATTCCATTTCTCTATTTTAATCCATGTTCCCTAATTTTCTCACAAAACACACAAGTCATCTCAAACAATATTAAACCACACTTGACTAGCTGAGATTCTTAGCACAACTCTGAAGTTGATTCTGAGACTCCAGATCGATATTAAGAACGTGAAGGGCACTAGTAATAATGAATGATTAGAATAATTGCTGAAAATTCACACTATTGGATAAATGTTATATATCATCTTGTCACTTAGCAGTACAAACATCATCAATATTTGGCACTCAATTAAGAATAGCCTTCTTTAACTTTTCCTAGAGGATACAGGATAGCTAAATATTAAGGACTTAAAAGGAGTTCCCCCTTGCAGCATACAAAATGGCACGTAGGAAAAATTTCAGTAAAAAAATTAAACAAGATAGGTACTATCAAACTTGGAAGAAAACTTTATAACTCAAACAATTAGATTTTAAGAATCTGCTATAGAAGACTACACACGTTTCTATTTCTTAAAATATTGAAATAATTAAAGTGAAGTTCAAGGTCTTCTACTGGAGCAAGAAATAGCAAAATGGGGAGAAATCAGATGGCAGGTGGGAAATATATACAATACCTGGAACAACAAATACTCCAGTATTTGTGAATCAATAAGGCAAACAAAATACGAAGGCTAGATGCCCAGATATGAACCTCAGGTTTCCGCCCACCAACACTCAGAAGCACCCTGTAAGGGGTCTCCAAGTGCTCACCCATTCCCAAGCTGAGTATAAATAAGGGTAAATTCACATTTGAAAAACAGCTTGCATATGTTACAAAAGTATTTCACATATATTGAGTGTCATATCCTGTTTAGCTGATTAAAAATAACTAATCACAAACCTCATTCTTTAAATTAGGCCGAAGAAATTAACTTGCCATTTTAACACTGGGTCTGTGGGAAAGTCAAATTTCAACTTCCAAAAAAATACAAACAACTACATGACCAAGAACTAGGTATTTTTTATATTCTCTCGACAAGTGCTTTTGTAGAGTTACAATCAACAAAAATTGATAATGACTCCAATTAATTCTCTTGAAGCAATCACAATACTCATGCAACATGCAATAAACTTGTGACTTCATCCCTGTTGCTCCAGCCAAGGCCTAGAGCCAGCTGTACAGATCTACAAGAATCTCAATAATCCTAAATATTTCTCTATACCTCAATTTTAAGAGAAACAAATATGACAAGGGAAAATGCTGACATTAGCAGGTTCAATAATATTTTATACCCTAAGGTAAAATTTTATAAATACCAAAACAGTCATTAGAAACTAAAGTTTTATTCATTGTTCTATTTTAGTTTTTAAATAAAAACAAACTAGTCAGAAAAAAAAAAATGCCAGAAGGAATGTTTCTAATATGTTCTTGGTATTTCTTCTATCACATTTGACAACAAAATTAAAGTATTATACTGTCTTTGAAAAGAAAAGAGGCTCATTAAAAAGAGCACTTTAGAAAACACAGTATAAACAATTGTTAGTGTTTTCATATAATTAATGACAGATGGCCACAAAACTCCACCTGGCTCCTAGAAACAGAGAAGTCTTGTGGACAATGAACCATCTGAATTAACAATCAAGTTTTTTGTAAAACAACTTTATAAATGGATCACAGCAGGTCATAAATGAAATGAAGCACAGAATTCTATATGAATCTAAAAATAAAATCCTATAATATTATAAACATAATATATACATGTGAACTTGAAACATTATTTTAAAGCAAAATTTTTAATAAATAAATATATAAATTGTCCACACTGCAAAGTCTGAGGTATAATTTTCCGTTTAGATAATAAATTTCTAACATAATTTATAATAATGTAAAACTTTCACTAGAATTTTTCTGCACCTGCATGTTAGAGGAAGATAAATAATAAAAATACTCCTATTAGGGAATAAATAGGTTTAAAAAGGCAATTTCCATGAATGTCCTAGGGTTACTCTATTTTTGACTCTAATGTCAAGTATTTTATCATCTAAACAAGAGAAACACATTTAGAATTGTGGCCCTGAGCAAAAGATATCACCAAATATTCAAATAATCCATTTTGTATTTTACTGTACGTCTACTTGTTCCATGAGCACGTCTCCCATTCTCTACCACACCTGTCAGCTGACCCTCGAAGGCCCACAGTCCTGTTGTGATTCCTTCTTCCCCTCTTATCTCCACAGTACCCAACAGGAGTCAAAGAACACAATACCAATTTCTCAAAAGTCTTCTAGTCATCCATTACATTTTCTGGCTAGAAATGCTCAATTATAATCCTGAGTAGCTTTGAAAAACGCACAAAAACACTTATCTATCTCAGCAAGTAGAATAACTTAAACATAATTTAATTAATCCTCTTCTAAAGAACAAGTGTGTATAGATTAGGAGATATTTTCAACTAAAAACATACCAGCCATTCTCTCAGACGAATAGTAATTGCCAATGACTTCATACTGAATGTTGACGGCAGGCACTGAGTTTGGATGTGTTACCTCCACAGTCAGCAAAATTGCCATCAACAGGTTTACCACCTGTGAAAGATAATATTTTATCAATTATATTATTAATCAGGAAGCAGTCTTCAGCAATCTTTAGATGTCTTCCCATATTTAAAACTTTTACTTGAAAAAAAGACATAAAATAGACTATCTGTGTAATAAAATACACAATACCACTATAAATATTTTATAAAGTATAAACATAATCCTTTCATAGAAAAGATGATTAATTCAATACAATAAAACAGCGCAACATTTAAACATAAGGGATCATTACAAAATGTTCATGTTCAGAGTCACATATTTATATTCCAAACTCAGAATTTCTGGGTTAGAAGAAGCTAGTTCATTCGATATTCTTATCCATCAGATAAAATATCCGTTGGATAAACATATAATGATCCATCACATAAACCCAAAACTCCTCCACAGTATTTCCTACCCAGAGATACAGAACTATTTCCTCTTGACTAAATACTTGAAAGACTAGAATACTTTAAAGACTTTCCCAGATTTTGACTGTGTCACTTGACTTTCACCTACTGGTCTTAACTGTACTTTTGAGATAATCTGCTCACCTTTCTGAGTAACTGCTCCTCCAACGCCTAAGGGCAGCCGACATGTGCCACCAAATACTGTCTTTTCTAGAATAAACATTCAGGTACGTAAACCATCTCTCTCACTGGCACATTGTCTAGTCATCTCATTAGTTCCTCTTCGCTCTCCTCTACACTCAGGCTCCCGTTGGCTGGACATACTATTAAAGTGACTGAGCTAAGACTGGCCTGGAGAAAACATACTGGGATCTCAGTTCCTACAACCTAGCTAACAAATTTCAATTAATGCAGCCTGAAATTGCACTAGATTCGTAAAATTTTTTGAGTGTCACACGAGAGTAACTCCCTGAAGTCCCTAATTCTTTTTCACACTTTATCCTGCTAAGCCACCACCTGTACCAGTACAGTTACAATCAGAGGCCCCAGCATACACCCTCATATTTTTGCAACAGAATTTCATCATACTTTCTTGCCTGTCAAGATTTTTCTAGATCTAGGTTCTGACACCCTACAGATGTCCTATCTTTCTCAGCTTCCCATATTCGAAAATATAATTAGTAATCGGTATGCAATCAATATGTCCTCTAAGTCACTAGCAAGAGAACAGGGTGGACAGCAAAGCTGCCAGAGGCTGTCCATGTCCAGTTATCAACAACCTTTAAATAAAATTCTTTATCTGATGGAGAGGAACATCTTGAGACTCTGTCCAACATCTTGCCTAAATCCCATAACATCTAGTGAACTGTTCTAGTCTAAGAGGGTTGTGACTCCATTTCAAAAGGACATAATAATGCCTCTATTGGTTAGTGAATCCCTGGAGTACCCCAGAAAGCACTACTTCCTTTTAGTGCTCAAAACAGTCCTGTTAATGATTCAAGAAAGAAACCTCACCTAGGACTGGAGTTAGGCTTCCTTATCTAAGTTCACAGAATCTGTTCTCCTCCCCTTTTTGAAAATCTGAACATTTGATATGTTCAAGAGAGGTTGGAGCCTTATCAATAGTATTTTAAACAAAGTCTATTATGTAGCTCTTTCCTGTCCACCCTGAATGATAAATAACACAGTTTATCAGGGCTTAAACTTTCCTAGAGGTGTTTATCAGTTGAAGGCATTAGCCATTCTCTAAGACAAACAACCCAAGTTTTATCTTTAAATAAGGCTGGGTGATCTAAACAATGTCACAATATCAAATTCATAATCAACTAATATGTGACGATATATTATATACCAAGTATATGTATACATATTACTTCACTTATGTACTTAAGTGAAATAAATATTACTAAAGCCCATTTGCAGATGGGGAAACTAAGGTTCAGAAAAGCAAAATAACTTGTGTAAGCGGACAAAGGATGGAGCTAGGATATACAGACTTGGCTCTTTTTAAGACATCCTGCTTCTTAGCACTATATGATTACTTATATATCCTTACCTAAGCATCTTCTGTTTTGAGGTCTTTCCAAAAGAAACTATTATCTAAGGCTATAAAATATTTATACTTTACTCTCCAAATAAAGTTTAGTTACATGCCTTTTTCCTTGCACTGCTCTAAGGCAAGGCCTTACAAGGAAAATCATTTTGACTGTCCATTTTCACTGCGATGGGTGTGACCAGTATATGTAATGTACGAGTATGAGTTAACAGGATTACGAGAATTACTGAATAATCATATATATCTACTAAAACGTTATATATTGTTTAAGGAAATAAGCTTGAAATCAATTCGGCAACCTCTTTGCTAAACATAATATGGCCAGAATTAAAAAGCTGTGAACAGAAAAACATTCTCATGTCAAGAAAAATATGCAAACTCAATTATCAAATGAAGGAAATGACAGACCCAAAATAATTTAATTTTCCCTAAACATTTTTATCACATGTAGGATTTATAAAAACCTTTCTTCTCTTCGACAGGTAAGTCAGAATCATCCACTATTATCTTCTAGTATTAGTAATACCTCAAATTTCACTTTGAGTCATATCCCTGAACACTAAACAAATCATAGGTCTAATCAAAAGGACCAAGAAAAGGTAAAATAAATTTCAGTGCTATTCATTAAAAGCTCACACAATTTTACAAATCTGCAGAATTATACTCCATTAAGTCATCATATTTCATTAGAACCTCAACTTACATTTTAAAGTACTAATCTGGAAAACCTATACTTGAAATCTTAAAAGATTCACTACTGTACTATATTTGAGCTTGTGTTCAAATATAGGCCCTGTGCTATGCACTTTTGATTACAGTTGATATTTCTAATAAGTTCCATGTAGCATTTTTCAAAAAAACACATAAAATTAACCATAGTCTTACAATATAAAATTTCTCTGAAAATAGCAACTATGTAAAATTCCAGAATAATTTATTCTCAATTCATTTTTCCTTTTATTGTACTTAAGAAAGCTAAAAATGTATTTAAAATACTAATTAACGAAACATAGAAATAAGGAATAGTGCAAAAAAATACAGCAACTACGTAAATATGTTAACAGCCTGGGCAATGGCCACATCACTCAATGTGGGAATGGTACTGTAAATTTAGTGGGTCAAATTGTATAGTTTATTATTTTTGAAAGTTTTTTCCATACCTTATATTAGTAAACAAACAAAAGCCAGATGTGTTAGATTTCACTTATTACAAAGAAAACAGTATCAGATCCATGGAATCACTCAGCCGTTCTCATTTCATTGCCATGCCCATTCTAGAAGATTCTTTTGTGGACTGGGTTTTGGTTTTTAATTATTACTCTCTAGTTTTCCCACAGCATATTTTGCCCCAATCCAGTATCTGCTGAGACTATAATTAAAAAGATGTGTTTGACTCAGGGCATTCTGATGAGGTTGTCACGGGCAGAGAGGGGGATCCACAGGGAGTCAGTGTACAACTCCAAGTCAGCAACTGTCCTAAGATAAAGATCAAAACCGACTATCTTTAAAATTTTAAGTACAAAACTTGTTATAATAAACGTAAATGGTTTTGTTGTTTGTCCTTACGCAGTTACAAGTGAGTTACTCCCACCTTTTTTGGGGAGGAAACAATTCATTTAACAAATGTCTAATGAATATTTCAAATGTTCAAATTAGTAAGTTAGCTAATATACACATCTTATTGAGTAAGACATACACATCTTATTGAGAAAGACATATCAATTTCCTCCCCCAAGGAGGACATCTTGTGTGGGGAGAAAAATAAAAGATAATTACACTAATGTATAATAAATACTACTTAAATGTACATATAAGAGGTGTGTAAAAACTTTTTCCAGGTACGCAGTGAGGAAACCAGATCCCTCTGGCTGGAAAGCAAGGAAACATTTGATCTAACCATTAAAAAATTAACTAGAACTCGCAAAATGTTAATGGCTAAAGCTGGGTGATGTGTAAATGGGAGATTTTTATGCTATTTTTGTATATTTAAATTTTTCCTTAATAAATTTTTTTTTAAAAGTGACAGGGGGAGACAACATTTCATGGCATATGCAAAGGCACTGAGGCCCAGAACAAACTTTGAAATATAAACAAACTATTCTTATTTAAAGGGGTTAGGGGTGAGGGCTGGAATGCAATATGACCTGAGGAAACCTATCTTCACTCTCCTCCCAGCTACATAACTTTAGATTGTTTATGGTTGGAATGCTCATGAAAAATTAGCCATATAGTAAATCTTTCCAAGACCTAAATTATTTCAAATGCTCAAAATGTGTCCTTGTACAGCATTAACCATGGAGGATACTTCCTACAGAATTTTAAGTCCATTTTCAATCATTCAATTAGCATTACATGGTAAATATACCACATAAGAAATTATTGTTTAAAATCATCTAGCTTCAAATTCCTTAATAAATAACAGTGAAAAAAAATTTTAGGAATATCAGAATTTAAAGCAGAGCTCATTCTGAAATTTCATATATTACTTAACCAAGGTATTAAGTGAGGCATGCGTCATTCAAATCTGAAATGCCAAAGGCTAACACTTCTAGGGCTGGTGCATATAACTGGCTCTAGCTTCTCTATGTCCTACTGTACTATTCAATACCATACAATTAATACTTTAGTATACAGTGTTACACTCTCTTTAACACTAGACGGGTTCACTAGACTGGTAGAAGCAGTTGCTGGAAGGCAATGACAGTGTATCAGATACAAAGTCACTTATAGGGTGTCTGGGCCCCACAGGTGGGAGGGCTGCATCTCCAGGTTCCAAATATATACAGAGGCAATCTAAAGAGAATCATCTTGACAAGGTAGTTGGAGAGGGAAGTAACATTCTACTTCACTCACTCCCATATTATTCCCCAGTCTTTGTAAAGAAGCTTCTAACAACAAAATGCAATTTGGACAAATACACTTTGTTAGTATCAGCAAAACCAATGGCCCTTCCCAGTCTTTCATCTGATTAGAATCTGATACTATGATCATCTTCTCCCTCCTTAACGTACTGTAAGTTTTATCTTCGTATCTGTGCTCCCAAGTTCTTTGTAATACCGTAAGTATCTTAAAAGACAGATGCCATGTTCAAGCCAAGAAACACCTGAGAGCCCCTATGTAGCAGGTTAATAAAAATATAAAAGATGAATGACACATGGTCCCTGAGATTTCTTTTTATATGCCCACCACTGCCTTTTCCATCGTAGATGATCAATAATCTCTTAAATTTAAGATTAATTGATCTAAGCAGCTTATAATGTTCTACTAGCCAGAAAAGTCCAAGCAAAGTAAGAACAGCTATGGCTAAAGCATGGGAAATGGGAGATATGCAGAAATGTTTCCACGTCAAGTGCTTCCAGGGGTGGGGGGAAGACTGTTTTAACATCCTCACTCCTTATTCTGGGGAACAAACACACTTAGTAAAGTCTTTCTCCCTGAATTCTGAGTTTTGCTGTTTATAACTCCCTTTTTCCTGCTATTCCTTTCATTTTTATGAGCTGAGCCCAAAGCATACAAAAAAAATCTGCCTTGGAAAGAAAAACAGCCAATTACATTCAGATGGTTGAAATTGGGATGGTGGTTATTTCTTCTTGAGGAGGAGTTAGAAATCCTTTGTTCTGCGACTTGCGGGAAAGATCTGAGAAGAAACAGGAAGACTGGATTTGCAGGCAAGAGTCCCAAGCTACTAGACTCTCATTGCCAGTTAAGTAGGAGGGAGAAGGTCATCTTCTAGGGGAAGAGGAAGGCAGGGTTGTGTAAGAGGCTTGAGGACTCTAGAGATTTCAATTATTCCTTTAGAACGAAGGCAGAGCTAAAAACAAAAGAAATTCAAGACCCATGCCCTTAACAAAATGGATTAGAAATAAAAGAAAGTTAGAAATATAATACTGCTAATTGCCATTAACTGATTGATGTCCAATATTATGAATCAATTAAAATATAGAACGAAAGGGAGTCTTTTCCAGGATATGTGATATACTGATAAGATGATGTTTCTGAATATAAATACAGGAAATATTAAACCTAGAAACAAGCAAATAAGCCTACACATTCAAGTTTTGTTGTTTTTAATGTACACTAATGAAGCATGGCTGTAAAAAACAGGGTGGCTGGGAATAATGCAGAGGTCAGGTAGTCTCCTGGGGGTGGGCCATGAAACACTATCTGAAGATGATTCTCATCTGGTGTTTGTCCAAATGGTTAATGATTTCAAGGCACTGGGTAGGGAAGTAAAGAGAACTGAGAAAGGCAAAAAGAATATGTGATAAAATAAATGTGATAAAGCTCTTCCCTTTTTCACCTAAGTTATCAGAACTGCACAGTAACACTAATGCCACAATTTCCCTCACCGCCACCAAAAAAATTCAGTCATTAGCAAAAGTAGCCAAGTCGACAATATAAGAAGTTTGTCAAAAGTTATCATAACCTAAAACTACCTAAACAGAACCACATATCTAGAAGTCACAAATTAGCTTCAAAGTGTACGGATACTGGAGATAATGGTAGTGAACCGTCGATGAATAACTGCCAATTTGGTTATGACAGAATGACATAGGTCTTGAAATCCAGGGAATGCTAGCGTACGTGGCCAGAAGAAGGGGAAAAAAGGAACGGGTCTGACATGAAAGACGTCTAATGTGCAGGCAGTAGCTGCATCAGGAATAAGCACATCGAGCGTAAATCCTGACAAATGGTATTGCCTCCAAGAGGATGTCTACACTCACAAGAGGGGCCTTCCTGCCTACATCATAAACACATTGTAACAAACAAAGTCCAGGAACCACACAAACTGCGTTGCAAAGTGGACCTTTTGCTTTCCCTTCGGGAAAGATTATGTTTAAACTAGGCTACATTTATCAAGGTCCGTTCCTAATTGTTTCGTTACACAAAAAAAAAAACTCCAGGGAGCAGGAAAGCCGGGGTGGGGGATAAAATCTTTCAGATCACATTAAGTACAAAAAAGAGCCTAAACCTGGTAATTTCCAGAACTCTCCACCAAAACCTAACACCCTCATCCTCCACGCCCGCCCACTACGCCTCAGCTTTCCCAACCCCATTCCCACCTACCCTTTTCTCTTAATTCTTGCCAAGGAACCATCTCCCCATTCCCATCCACCCGCACTTCGAGTCCTGGACAGTCTCCTCCCTCAAAGTTAGAGCACCCTAAAAAGAAGTTCTCCTACGCCTTCCCGCCCCACCCAACACCCCGTTTTCAGTCCCACCCCTGCCAGTGAACACTCCCTTTCAGACTGGGCTCCCTCACCTCCTGCTCATGCGCATTTTCCCTAGGGCCCTACCCTCCTGCCCCGCCGGCCCGCCCTTACCATGTACCAGGTCCCCAAGATAATCGTCCCGGTGCGGACATGGCAACAGCCGCAGCACCGGGTGCTGTAGAACCGGTCGCTGCGGCTCCGCTTGAAAGTCATGGACACCATTGGGAATCTCGCGGGCCTTATTCTTGGCCGGGACCCTCACAAAAGCTTTTCGCCCCGCGGTTGAACTCAGATAGCTCTGTCACTGTGTCCAAAACCAAACGACGAGTCTTCAAGCCCGCCCCGGCCCGAGCCTCAGCCAGCTTCTTGGCACCTGCGCACTAAACGCCGAGTTCCGCTCTCGCGGGACCTCGGTTTCCCTCTTTCTCCACCTTCCCTG